CCCTCTCCCTATTATTTCTCTCTCTCGTTCTGTCTTTCTTTTTCTTTCAGCTCTCTCTTTCTCTTTTAAAGTCTTTCTCTTATTTTGAACTCTCCTTTTCTCACACTCTTTTGCTATCTCAACTTTTTCTTTCAAGACTTTTTTGACTCTCTTTTTTTCTCTCTCACCTCACTTTTTTCTCTCTCTCTCTCTCACTCGTTCGCTCTCAACTTTCTCTCCTTCCCCTCTCTCTCAGCTCTATTCTGGGATACTGTGATAAATGATACTAAACAGAGGTTTGTTGGGCAAAATAACACACAACACAAAAGTAAACTCATCTAAACTAATCAAACACTACAGCTGACAATCAGGAGAGTAAATTCCTTCAATCACTGATTAAACACTGACAAAAAGTTTTACTAGAGACTCTTAGCAATGTAGGTGAGAGAGGTGGAAAGCAACATTGTCCAAAATGACACCTGAGTATACCTTAGTCAGAGGATATAGTGTGTCAGAGAGGAGAGCAGGATTTACATACAGACTTCACTGAGCTGAAATATTCAGTGAAATTAATACAAAACAGTTATAGACCAGATCATCAATCATGGATTTCTATAACAACATGAAAGAGGAGTCCAGTCTGTCAACAGACTGTAGCATTCACTGTACAATTTTTTAAACACCTCAGTAGGTAAGTCTGTCGTTTTATACATCTATTACACATCACTCTACTGACAAACACTGTCTCTGGCCTCCTGTTTGTCATCATGTGGTACAATGCAGCTTTCCACTATTCTCACCTTTTTTCAATGAGTATTGACAAAAGGCAAAAAGCTGAGTTAACAACTAGCACTACGTAGTTCACACAGGTGCTGATGGTATTTATAACTATGAGAGTATTTTCTAAAAGCTGTCACTCTGTTTTTCTTTTGTTTTACAGTTATAGAGTGAACCTTTGCATTTTTCTGTGAAATCTATGTTGACTGTTTTGAAAACAAATATTAAAAAATGAGAGAAGGCAAATGAGAACGAGTTAACACACTTGTAGAACCTTTTCTTACAACGCTGTTTCTCTCCCTCTCTCTCTCAACTCTTTCATTTTCAAATCTTTTTTCTCACTTTTTCAACTTTTTCTTTCTCTTTTCAACTCTCCCTTTCAACTCTTTCTCTCCCTCTCTTTCTCTGTCAACTCTTTCTCCTAAGTTCAACTCTCTCTCTTCCACTCTCTGACCTCTCTCCTGTGTTGCCACTGGCCCTTTGAAAAAAAGTGCCCTTCCTGTCCTCGACCTCAAAAAAAGCTTAAAGACCCAGAAAAAAAAGAAACAAATTCCCCAAAAAGATATCCCTCACACAGAAAAGACATAAGAAAAACGAGTGAAGGCTGCCAAGAGGCGGGGAAGAAAAACAGGAGACAGCGAACGCGAGTGGCTAAAGCAAATAAACAGAGGGGAGAGCAGCGGCGTTCCAAAGGGCCATGCAGTGTGTTTATCAGACAGCAAATAAAGCCCAGCTGCCTTCCATTTGGGCAGAGAGAGAGAGAGAGAGAGAGAGAGAGAGAGAGAGAGAGAGAGAGAGAGACAGGTGAGTAAAGCTCTCCTGAAGTTTTCCTCTCATCGTTTATTTTCTGCTCTCCTCTCTTTTCTTCTCTTTTCTCTTTAGTTTTCATTTCTCCTTCCAACTCATCAACTCATCATTTCATCTTTTTTCTCCTGTTTTCCCTTTTATCTCAAAATTTCGCCTATGCTCTCCTCATTTCTCCTCTATCTTTCTTCTACTCTCCTCTCATTTTACTTCTTTTCTCTTCTGTTCTCCTCTCTTTTCCCCTTTTTCATAATTTCTTTTATTTGTCCTTTAAATATTCCTCCTCTTTTCTCTTTTGTTCTCTTGTTTCTAATCATCTCTCTTCAGCTCAACCATCATTCTTTCTCTTGTTTTCTCTTCTGCTCTCCTCATTTCATCACTTTGCTCTTCTCCTCTCTTTTCCTTTTTTCTCATGATTTCTTTCTGCTCTTCTCTCACCATTTTATCTCTTTTCTCCTGTTTTTCTCTTCTCTCATAATCTCTTTATTTTTTTCCTTTTTCATAATTTCTTCTCTTTTCTCTTTCCCTCTTGTTTGCCTACTGTTCTTTTCTCATCATCTCTCGCTTTCCCTCTTTTTCTCTTTTCTTGTTTTCCTCTACTCTCATTGTTACTCTTCTTTTCTCTTCTGTTCTTCTCTCTAGTAGTAACAGTGGTGATAGTAGTGGTGCATTTTTTTGAATTTTTTAAGAATTCACACACATAATTTACAGTCTTTCCCATTTAAAATGAATGTAAACACAGCCGAGTCTCTGAAGAGAGAATCAAGAACATTTTAAATGCACAGATATACTGACTGCAGTATCTATCCAGGTTTACTGCAAAGCCCAAAGGCAACTCTAGCGTATCATAGCACAGTGCGATATGTTTATTGTTAAGTCCATTTCTTTTTCTCCCATGTTTGCTCCTCTCCTGTCTTTCGCTCGCCTTTTCTCTCCTCTTATTTTATATCCTGCGCTCTTCTTTCATTTCCTCTCCACTTTTTCTCCCTCTCTCTTTCTCCTCACTGAGGTCTGAACCTGCCCAGCTTTGAAGTCTGCCCAACTCGGCCTCTCTCAGACATCTCTGTGTAATTACCGGCCCGCATAATGAGACCGCTTGGCTCCAGCGTTTGTGTATAAAACACACGCACGCCCACACACACACACACACACACACACACTCACACACACACACACACACACACACTCTCACACACACTCACACTCACACACACACACACTCTCACACACTGGAGTGCATGAATGCTTCTTTGAAGATACACAAACACAGTGCACTTTCTCCTACACACACACGCGCACATGTATAAGCACGTACCATTGTGCCCACAAAGTGATGATCTTGCAGAAATGTCTTGCACAAGCCAGTTACCAGTGCAGTTCCTATTTGGACTTGGAAGATTAAGACAAAGCCAGGCTAAAAAGCCAAGCTCACTATCTGCTTCCGTTATTTATACTACCACGCAAAAGAATCAGTGCTTTTAGTTATACAAACCAGTTCTGTTGCAGAAACTTTAGAGCCATGCACGGTTTTAAAGGGAAGGCTGGGGTGGCTGAGGTGGCCAGTGCCTCTCTTAAAATCTGACTGGTGACCAGACGCCATTCCTGGTTAAAGTTTCTAGATGTTTAGGGCTGCACGATATGGATATGAAAGCAAAGTTTGATTAAGCTGTTGTATTTCGCAATGATGAATTTAGAAGCAACATGTTATCATTAGAATAATGTGGCTCAGACTGGATGTAATGGTAGTAATGAAGCAATGGTAGCTACTTACATGAGAACTGCAAGCACATTGTAAGGCTGACCACAGTGTCACTGATCTTATAAAGCATCAAAAGCTAATGCCGCCCCCTTGTGGAGAATTTATAGCCTGCAAAACACGAGTGAGTTCCTCATTGTGTTTGCACTCAATTTCCAAACATGCACAAATGTTATATATATTGTAAATATTGTATATTTTTATTTCCAGTATAGGCCTACAAACATGGATAAATGTATATTTACAGCTGCACTTTGTGCATTTTGGGGTTTGGAAATTTGCATGCAGTGTAATGCTGATTGTGCTTCGGACAAATAATCTGCTGATGTTTTCCTGCACGTTGAAAGAATATCTAAACTTGGTGAGTCAAAACTTGGTGAAGGACATGTCCTCCGAGGATGTGAATTATCTACTTCGTTCATTAATTCACTAATATTAAATTTGCACTTGAGACCTAAACATTGAGTCGGAACTTCTTTTTGAGTCTGTGCATATGACATTGAAACATAAAGGCATACGACGTGGTCTGAAAAACTCCCCCGAAATCCGACCCCTATACCTCCGATTTTTTAAATTTTTATTTCAGGCTTTACAGAGCGACTTGCAGCAGCACACGCACACCATATTTTAGTGTGTTCTTGTTTCTCCTCTTCTCAGTAATCTTACATAGTGCAGCTTTAGTTCCTTAAAAAGCTCCTTATGATGATGCGTATTTGTTGTGACAGTAGCGATTACTGCTCTATACACACAACACTGAGGGTGAGAATCACATTTAAGCATTTTTACAGTCTAATAGTTAAGGACAGAGTCGTTTCTGGGCTGTGCACACGTCTTTTGTAACTGCCTGTTTAGGCAAATGCTTAAGTTACTTGCTTTCCTCACAGGAGCGCAGGGTTCAAGCCCACTGCAGGGAAGCACTTGTTCCCGCCAATCTAATTCCGTCACTTGGACGCTGCACATGTGAGATTATTTGATCCTGTCAGTCCAGCTCTAAAAGATGTGTATATCATGGAAATTCATGTTGTGATAATGATAAAAGTGTGATTTACACTCAAATAAATGTCTAAAATGGTTTCAATATGGTATCACTATGCAACTTCACAGGTGTAAGTCATTTGTAAAAAGTTTGGAAGCTTTAGATGATGAACAGTGCTGATGGTTTAGTAACACTTTATTGTAGAACTGTGTTCATAAAGCTGAATGGCACAAAAGCTTGTCATGACAATTGCCTTAAACCTACATAAGCATTCATAACGGCTACTTCCAAAAGGCGTCGTCTGTCACAGAGGCTGCTTTTGATAAATTTGATGTCAACTTTGTCAGGTGACATCGCTTTTTTTTCTGACATTGGATTGTGTCATGACACTTTTCAGGTGAAATGACATAGCATTTGCTATAACAACTGACTTCGTAGCTTAGTGTATATCACAGTGACATAATGCGGATTACATTGCTTACACTGAAACACTCCTGTTTCATCAGTGTGGCCTTTTATACCTTATGCACAAAACGGAAGGAGCACTCTGCTGCCAAACTCCATGGTTTAAGTCTGTTTTCTTGCTGCTTAACAAATGTAGGATATGGGTGAAAAAATATTAATAGGATAAGTGATTCCAAACTGCCTGAACTCAATACCTGAAGTCTTTCTGTAACAGTTTTCGGTCTGTCTGTGCTTAACTATTAGGTGGTGATGGAAGCAGTGAAAATGGAGCACAGGAGCCCCCCATGCCTCCCACCGCTGAGAAAACATCCGAACCAGACAATGGCAACAACAACAACAGCCTGTCACCGCCGGACTTCAGCAGCACGCCCAGCAAAAGCATAACATGTAAGTTCAGCGGTCAGATCTGCAGGACTACACTGCCCAGAATGTTTCTCACACTAGGCCTTTGTGTATTGAGACTGACCACGACCCAGCCAGGCTTACCTGTTTTGCTGTGAATACGGTCGTTTTGTCTGGGGAAATGGCTGGATGTTGTGGTGATGGCTGTGGTTAGAGTGACTGAGGCATCATGCTGGGGTTAGATGTATTTCAGAGACAGTACTGATCAAGGGAACCTTGAAATGTATCAGTGCCCTAAACTGCAGGTTAATTATTAATTTTAAATAGGAATGCATCAATACCGATACTGGTACTCGGTATCGACTTGAAACCATGCTCATTTACTTGTGCTCGACCTAATGCACTGATACTAGTGGCAGTTGGACACAGAGTAAATTTAAACATTCCACCTTGGTAAAATCAAAATGATTATGGTACTTACTACATTCCTATGTGAACTTACGCTAGAAAGGTGAATGTTCAGTGCTTGGACGTACAACTTAAGATGGTATAGACCTATTACATTATGTAGATGCCTTTTAACCCCTTTTTTTTTTACAGTAGCCATAAAAGCTGTTTTCGCCTGTTTTGGAGGTGAATGATACATTTTTTTTTACTTTTTTCTTTAACTTTTTATGGTTTATCTTTTGATGGAAATGTGTTTTTGTATAGTTTAAAAAATAGAAAGCAAACTTTTTTTTGTCTTTTTACACTTAGAAAGTTTTATTTTTATTGTGTCTAAATGTTTTTTATTGTGGCAGTTGTATACTATTTTTTTTAATATCAAGAAAGCTGAAGCTGCACTGACTGTTTTACCTTGAAACAGCCCTCTTTGTGGAAAAGTGTGAATTGTTTTCACAGCAGGGGGTTTGCACCCCTTCTCCTTCACCCCTCACTGCTGGCTAGCAGCTCAACACATAAGTACAACATTTCAGTTACTCAGAGAGCCAACAGTGTCCTACTTAATTTGATAATCTGACTTGATGAGTTACAGGAAAAAAAATGTTTTATTTAATTATTTTAATTAATAATAGCCAAGTCGATTTTCATTCTGCCAGCAGAATGGCCTCTATGGGCCCTGCAGAAAGAGGCTAAATTTTAAAAAGTACAGCACTCACACATTACTCACAATATATTATATTCACCAAATAAACAGCAAGTGTGTATTAAAATGTGCAGACATGTGGTCCCTGTAGAGGATATGTTAACTTCACTTAGAAAATCAACAAATCATTTAAGTGTTAGTTTCTCTACAATGCACCATTTCACATAACTCTGAATGACTTTGTTTACATCTCAGTGTACAGAATATGAAATCTGACCAGGGATGTCAGGACTCTATGTAGTCAACAGTTTACAGTGTATTTTTATCAACCTGTGAACTATTGTAAAACCATTGTCAAACAATATCTGAGGCATCAGACATGTAATTTTACATATACACTTTACAGTCTTAGTCAGCCAGACTGGCGACTATCAGTAATTGACTGAGACCAAACACTCAAGATTCAGAAAGGTTTATGCAGAGCAATACAATGTGAAAACACACTTCTACTGTTGAGAGTGAAGAGAAAGGCTGAATGAATGTGATCTTGTGCTTTGAATAGTGTGGCATTGAGTGAGTGCCTTGACTGATCTGTGCTGTTTACTGTAGACACTAAGACTGAGGTATCATTATGGAGCTGAGTGACACTCAGACAGTCCTTTGTGTGCGTGTGTGCGTGTGTGTGTGTGTGTGTGTGTGTGTGTGTGTGTGTGTGCAGGCTGGGTGGGTTTAGTCCTGCAGTAGACTGTGACTAAGCGGTCTGAATGAAGGGTGGATGTAGGATAAGGTTTTATTGCTGAATCATACCCCTACTGCTGGTACAGGCCAATACACCCACCTACCTTCAGGAATTAGGTCAAGATGCGAACATAACACACACTCACACAGATATACACACTGACACACACACTGGTTTTTATTGAGTTGATATGATCCAATTTTTCTTTTCTGACATCAGTGCAAATATTGAAGCTAATTGAAGAGTATTGGCTGATATCCATATCGATCTGATGGTCATCTAAAGGTAACATGCTCAAACTACTCAAACACTAGCCTACTAGCCCACAGGGAGAAATACATAGCTAACAACATAACTTATATAAAACTCAGTTAACTAATTAAGATGACATTTTTCGATTAGTTAAATAAGAAAGAAATATCATGTAGTGAAATGTGTAAAGTTAAACCATCTGTGCATGAGTTTCGCATAATGATTTGGAAATAATCTGGAAAAGTAGCTAATTTCACTGTTATAGCACTGAAAAGGAAATCTAGAAGAAAAGTGAAGGGACATCTTACCCCATTTGCTGTAAAACTCACATTCAACCACTCGTTGCCTAATTCTAGCTAACAATCACTATAACAATCACTAAGTTGGCATGTCATTCTAAAGCTAGCTAGGCAGTGAAACTCTAGTGAAATACTTTTTGCTTTTATAATATTTCTTAGTCAATTAGCTAAAAGGGGCCTTTTGCCTCTTCTCTGGGAGGACTTCTTTCCCTGATGTTTTAACTTTGCATTTTCTCTTTATTCCTCTCTGTATACTCTTCTGTATTTGTCTCTCCACAACCCTATATATTATGTTATATATTTAAATGAACTTTTCTGTGATATAAATGTGGAGATAAATATTACCCCGTGTCAATAAATGTACAAAAAATTTATTTCGGAAAATACATTACAGATTAGATTTGGCCCCATCATTTTATCAGGATAGAAAATAAGAGGGGGGACACAATCTGGGGCCAGATTCATGAAAGTGTCTTAAGAAAGAAAATCTTCTTAAATGTGCCTTTTATATTAATTACATATGAAAGAAAAACGTTCAGACAGATTCTTCAAAAAACCTCTTAAGAATTTTCTTCATTTCTTTCTTAAGTTTTCTCTTGACAAGTGTAAGAGAACTAGTGGTATTCTTGAAAAAAATTGTTCTTGAATATTTTCTTAACATTAAAGCAGAGTCTTCAAGAATTGACAAGATAAACACCTTATACTGCAAATTCTACTAAGTTTCACAAGATATCATTTTTAAAATAGACCAAGGAAGATTTTTCCTGTTGGCTATTTCCTCCACCATCACTTCCAGCTCTTGTTGCATATATATATAAATATATATATATATATATATATATATATATATATATACATACATATATATATATACATATGCTGTCCATAGAAAACCATCTCCATTCTTGTCGGTTTTCAGTTTTCTGCATCATTTCAACACACCAGCTGTCCTTTACATTGTGTAAAAAATTAATGATGAATGGACTAATAGAAATGTTCTAAAATCACTTGGAATAAAATCTCTTCACATTAACTTACATTAAAATGTAAGAGCATTTTTGGCTTCTCCTGTAGTTACTTTTTTGGAGATACTTGTTTTTCTTTGGACAGGGACAAGATTACACACACACACACACACATATATATATATATATATATATATATATATATATATATATACATACATAGGTTTGATTTTGTGTTATCTTAATTTTGTTGGGCGCAAACTGTGATTAAACTGAATAACCAGTTAATGGAAATATGGTATAATTTCTAGTAATCTGTGAAGTGTAACTCTACATGATAAATAACCCATACCTGACATATGAAAACAATTAAGATTTTCTTAAGAAAATGATTTTTGCTCAGAGAATATTTGAGAGCTTCTTAAGATTTTATGAGGATTAATGAGAATGAAAAAAATTATGAGAAATTATTCTGTGGTTTAAGAACACGTCATAAATCTAACATAGACTTTTTCTCAGCACCTTTCTCCAGAACTAATTTAAGAAAAAACATAGGAAGATATTGGTGAATGAGGCCCAATCTTATGAACTTCTTAGTGTTTGTCTTAAGATCTGTTGAGATTTTTCTTAGGAAAGCTTTCATAAATCAGGGGCTGGACTTACAAAAGCTTTTCTAAGTAAAACTTACAAAGCATCTTAAGACAAGCACTAAGAAGTTCATAAGAATGTTCGTAAATGTCATTCCCAAAAAAAAGGGTTGTTCTCCAGTATTTTCTTAAATAGAAGTTGCAGTTTAAGAAATCAATTTGTCAGTTCTCTAAAACTGTATGAATGAGACTGTCGAGTGAAGTTTTTTTTTTTTTAAATAAGTGTTTAGTTAAGAAAAAAGGTACATGTAAGAAAATTTTCTTTCTTAATACACAGTTGTAAATCCGGGCTCCTATGTGGATGTCACTTTCCTTTATGTTACAGTCTTATGCAAAAGTTTGAACACCTCTTGCCGAATTACATTTTATTGTTTTTAACACATCCTCCGATTTGTCCTTTTTTATTGTATAAAATGAATATGAATGCGCTGCCTGATGCCTGACATGATAGTTTTGAGGTAAGCTTTTGGGCAACAATGAATTTTTTAAAATCATGTCAGAGAGAGGAAGGAGGAAAATTGGTAAGGAAAAATAGTCCCAAAAGATATTTTTATTTTTGGAGTATATTTGTGGTTATTAATTAAGTCTTAAAGACCATAAAATGATTAAAAAGCATTTATAACACACAAATAAGGCCACCTGTTGTTTGCCTAGTGATTCATTTATAGTTACACCTCAGATTTTCAAGTTTACTGATCTTACTTTGTCTTCTTCATCAGTTAGCACTAAACCTCTCAGCTTCATCACATATTCATATTCATCAAATATAACAGCTCATTTTGCCCTTTTTATTAATGTGTTACAACTGTTTATTAAGCCATGCTGTCGTTGTGACTCGTCAACTGAACAAGTTTAGAGCCCTGTCCTCAGCCACAGAGCTTTCCAAACACTTTTCTCTCTTCTTACGCTGAAAATCAAGACTGAATGTTTTTGGTGGTAACCGCCGCTGTTGCCGTAACAACAGCTGCAGGTGAGTTATAGTGCTGGACTATTGGCAGTCAGCGATGATCACTCTCTCCGCTCCCATAAGAACACGTTATTGTTCGTGTTGAATGTTCT